AAAAAAAACACACATCATTGTAAAATCAATACATTCATCACTTCGTTCAGAATCTAAAACATAAATTATATGAAGACTTAATATTTAAAATTTTACATTCACTGTATAAAGTAGTAGTTGGGAATAGGGGTGGAGAAAAATCGATAGTCATAACCATCGATAGCTTCCGATTGTTTGTAGTTATACTATCGATAACTATCGATAGTTTACGATAGTATTTTTGTCTAAGTGCTGATGATAAAAAACAAACTTTTTTTTCAATTTTGAATCGACGACGCGGCGGAAACTGCTTTCACAATAGACTTCTTGTCGAAAAACTTACCTAAACACAATATTAATAGTGATAATAAATAAAGACAGTATGTCATTATGTCAAAATAAATGATTTATTTTATTGCGTTCAAATTATAACATTGTAAAATAAATATTTAATAATGAACATAATAAAAGGAACTTCAACAAACTTAGGAAGTATAAAATAATTAGTCCATTTAACACATATGATTAAAGGAACTTTAATAACTTTAGTAAATATAATATAAATAGTCCAGTTCTCTAATAACATAAAATGAAAATAAGTAATAACTAGTTTTTACTTATATAATTCAACAAAATAAAATGTTTAAGATGAAATAAGTAATTTAACAAATGATAAAAGGGACTTTAACAAGCTTAGTAAGCATAAAATAAATAGTCCACTGTTTTGTAACAACATAAAAATAAAATTATTTAACAAATATGATTAAAGGAGCTTTAACAACTTAAATAAACACAAAATAAATATTTCACTATTTTGTAATCATATAAAAAGAAAATAAGTGATAACTGGTTAACATCATTTAACAAATTAAGTAAGTTTAAAATAAAAAGTTCTCTGTTTTTAACATCATATAATGTAAATAAGTTAATATCTTTATTAACCAAATAATAAATAAAAATAATAATGTTGTAATAAAATGATTCAACAATTATGAGCAATTATAATAACCAATCATTTTAAATTAAATATCAACATATTTACATTTTTAGCTTTTAATCTAGACCGCCTGTCTGGAACAACTATACCAGCCTTACTGAATATCCTTTCAGATGGGACTGAAGTGGCAGGAACACATAAGATTTTTTTAGCACAAGTAGGAATAGTCCCAAGACTATCATTATTAATCTGAAATATAAAAATTATAATTTTATTGATTTAAAATGAGTTTGTAACTATTTAGATTTTAATTTTTAGGTAGGTACTTACATTCCAGAATATTAAAGGATCCATATCATTATTTGCATTAGGACGTTCCATGTATTCTTTTAAATAAATGATTGAATTGGCAGTCACYGTCCTGTTTTTACTTTTTTCAGCTATTCTTGTCTCTAGAAAATCAAATAATGATTTACCAGAGTTAGATGCCGATTCTGTAGTATCATGGCTTTCCTCTGGATTTTGTGGTAATAATGATTCTTGCAAAGACATTTCGCTCTGAAGTAAAGAAACTGCACATTTAGCATTATCAGAAGACCTAAAAGCCTCTTTTTTGAGTCTTGGATCTAATATTGTAGCTAAACGAGGTAAAGTACGTTCCTCATAATGAAATAATCTTGTTTTAACACTTTCAACTGTCTTTTGTAGTATACTCTTTCCTTCTGAAGTTCTTAAATTTAGATTAATAAGATGATTATAAATACCATACACTATAGGTATAATCAATGAAATGGTAACATAATTACCTAAACAGAAAATTATCATATAAAATAAAAATATTTTAAACATTATACTCTATATTAAAAATTACCTGATACTTTTTTGGTTGCATCATCAAAATAACTCAATATTTCGATTAAATCTTGTAGAACCAAACTGTCTTCTAAATTTAAAACTGTAGGTGCATTAGGCATTCTTAATAATACAATTGTTATATCATTCTTCAGTTCTAGAATTCTTTTTATCATATGATACATGCTGTTCCACCTTGTAGGAACTTCCTGAATAACTTTTAGAGGCTTTTTGTTTTGATTTTCTTGCTCAGTTATTAGCTTATGTGTTGCTATGTTACTGCTTTTAAAATAAGTCACCAAACTTTTACATTTTTTTATAACACAATCAACTTCTTTTAGTTTTAATGAATCTTGGACGACCAAATTAAGTGTGTGAGCAAAACAAGGAAGGTGACGTATTTTTAGTATTTGACAAGCTTTAATCATTGAAGATGCGTTGTCTGTTACTATTGTAACAACTTTATTAACAATATCCCAATCTTTTATTATTAGGTTTATTTCTGTTGCAATATTCTCACTAGTATGATTAATGTCCRTTTTGTTAGTGGACAAAACTGTACAATGCATTTTATAGTCTTTATCAATAAAATGACAAGTAATCGTTAAAAAACTTTCATTTGCTCTGGAAGACCATAAATCACATGTCAAACTTACATGACAAACATTTTGAAGTAGAGCAAATAATTTTTCTTTACATATTTCATAACTTTGCTTTAATAGAGAGTCTCTTAACGTTGGCCTACTTGGTAATACATACCTTGGATCAAGTATTTTAACTAGATTTTGGAATCCTGTGTCTTCAACAATAGAAAAAGGTTGGAAGTCTTTACAAACCATTAAAATCAACGCCTTATCTATTTCTTTTTTACGGTTGCTGTCACGGTCATAAACATTTTGTTTTTTAAAATATGTGGATATTGAATGACTATTTTGAGTATCTTCATCATCTGACTCAACTATAGTAGATTGTATTCTCTTTAGATGGTCTTTGAGATTACTGGTATTGCCACTGGTTTTGTACTCTTTTTTACATTTGCAACATTTTGCAAGTTTTCTATCTGTACTTCTGGTAAAAAAAGTCCAAACATTAGAAATTTTCCTTTTACCCATTTTAAGTTAGAAAGAGGAACGAATACTTATTAACAAAGTTAAAAACTTAACAAGATAAAACTAATAAATACTATTATAAATTTATAATCACAATATAAATTGAAATTTCAAATTATTGATAGTCATAACGACTATCGAAAACTATCGATAGGAGCCTTCAAACTATYGATGTTGTACGATAGTAGTGACTATCGATAACTATCGATATCACTATCGATAGTTCTCCACCACTAGCCGACAGTCCAGTTCCAGTGTGTAAACGATAAACACAACAGTTTTTCTATGCTACGCGCGCAAATCGCCGTAAAAATATTATATTTTTCGTGTCGGTGCTTGTGGCGATTCACATTTATTTTTTATATATTTTTATATTTTATGCAAGGCGCTAATCGCCATCTTTTTATATTTTGTGTGAGCGCAAATCGCCACATTKATATATTTGTGTGGGCGCAAATCGCCACATTTATTTTTTTTGTTATATTACCTTTGTGTGAGCGCAAATCGCCACATTAATATATTTTGTGTGGGCACGAATCGGCAAATTTATATATTTTGTGTGGGTGCGAATCGCCACATTTATTATATTATTATATTTTTATTATTGTATTGTTACGACATAGTGTGTGTGTCAAATGCTATTAATTAATATTATTATCGTTATTATCTTTTTCTATTTGTGTGTGTGAGTGTGAACTTTTCCGTATAGCTAGGACCAGCTGGCCAGACTGCGCTCCACAAATTGTGAGTTTTTACTTATATTGTTATTTATTTACACTATTATAATATTATTATTTTTACCGGCCAGAGGGGCCGTAATTTATAGATTTATATTTGTCAATTATACAAGCTCAACATAGCAGCATAATATTATATTTTTACCTGTTGGGCCAGTAGGGCCGTAGATTTTATATTATATCTTGTTGGGCCAGGAGAGCCATATTACTATATTCTTTTTATAGGTGTTGCTGTGATTTTTATATTCTTGTATTCGTAATAGTTATTTATTTGTGTACAATACAGCAACTCATTTTTTACCAGCAACCGTGTTACCATTTTATAGTTACCCTTGTCCAATAATTTTAAAGTCAACACACCACACATATACACACCTACACACACCACCACACACTAGCACTCTCTGGTTTTGCTCGGCGACCCCGTCCACTTCCTTTGAGTCGCTATACACACATACACACCTTTACACAAGTCGGTCGGTGTGGGAGTATATATAGCGCACGAAGCATTAGGTAACCGGGCGCACGTATTATTATATTACGTACCCGGCCCGTACAACAACACGCATTGMAACCTACATAGTATAAGGTTATTTATTTAATGTTGGCTATTAATACCATATATACTAAATTACAGACACACAGAAACGAATTGAATTAAATCAGATGATGTTATACATAATTTTGTGAAAAGAAAATATTCATTATATTATGCATCTTATAATTTTAAGCTATTACACTTTTGAGAATGGTAACTATTTTTACAATACCGATAAGTTGTCAAAAATATATAAATTCAGTTTATTCTCTATTAATCAAAAAACCTACATATCAAGATTCCTTGGAGGTCCAATTTTGTCCAGTAAATTCAAGACCAATGTATCAAGATGTTAAGATCAAAAAYTGTCAATCTACTAAAGTCGAACCATCTGAAGATATTGTAAATTCTCCTGTAAAAATAATTTCAGAGAATAACCCATCTTTTGCAATTGCAACACACAYTTTTCAAGGTATGGAGGATGAAATTCTACCAAATAAATCCGCGGAAAAMCCTAAATCGCCTAAAATACAAATATGTGGAAAAGTAATATTGGTGGAATCCCCAATTTTTAGAAGAAAAAGTTTATGGATAACACCTAAACCTTCATCTATTTACAGAGAACATCATAAGTCAATACCTAAAATAATGAATATCAAATACTAAAATATTAGAGATTCAATCAATTAACTTTTTTTTTTTTTAAGTGAGAAGAGTTGATCAATTGTTGTCTTTTAAGATCAAACTGAAAAGATATATAAATATTTCCTGGATTGTGCTGTTTAAACTTGTGTAATCAACTTAACGTGTATTATAGTTGTAGTAATTATAATGCATAAGCATTGCACTAACTCGTCGTTGATCCCTAACATAACATATACAGGGTATCCCCTGATATGTAGGGTGTCCCACAGAGATCTGACAAATGAAATAACTTTTGTTCTAATCAATATTTAAAAAAAAAATTCTTTTAAATATAATTGATAGACACTTGCGCTACATTTTTAGAATACATTTTTGATTTTTTAATACTAAAAATAAAAAATCTTAATTAATAATTCAAATTCAAATTTATTTAAACTATTATAACTTATTCTAGACTACTTTAATTTATTTATTATACTATTTTTACTTAATGTGG